TAGCGACGTGTCGACGATGTTAATAATTACCAAATTCAAGCCTCCACATCGATGTACGGTAATTACATTTAATATTACCGAATATAACTTTTGTGAATTCAATTATTAATTTGTATAAAATAAAGAGAAGAAAATTCTTAATTAACCCTACAAAGTACTGATACTACAATTAATTTAAAATGTTGACGAAAAAACTCGAACTTCAACTAATACTATAGTTAGTTCTTTGATTACTTCTGATTTGGTTAATCGACGTGCCAACATTTTCTTTATCCGCTACTCATACGTATGGTAAAATAAAGGCGGATTTTAAATTCCTTTATAATAATAACTGTTTCATTAGCCTTTTCAAAAATGTATCTCGTAATTAAATTGATTGTATTTCCGAATAACTGATATTGAATTGTCGTTCGAAATAAGACCAAGTCACGTACACTTCTGACCAAAATGTTTTAACAATTACAACAGAAAGAAATAACGTTAAAGTTGTTTATTTGTTTATTTTAACAGAAACAATAAGTGTAGTTTATATTTAACACATCCACAAATGCCTTTTTAAACCGCCGATGCTTTTCATACAGCCTCGCATTGAAATCTTAATTGCCTATCATAAAGCGATACTCCGTTACTCTTTTTTATTTTATCATCGGAAATGGAAATTAATGGAGGCTTTGGGAGACATCATTTAAATATAACAATGCACTTTTATACACGATACTGATATTTATTAAATCCGATTGTTTCACTTTGATCGTTGTTTTGTTTTCATTTAAAATAATCTATTAATTAAAAAACAAACACAGAATCACAAACACTTTGTAGCGTATGTGTTCTGCCACACTATGTACCACATTCCGATGTGCTTAATGCATTCCAATGAAATTAGGCTCAGTCCTAATTTCATTGGGATGCGTTAAGCTATTTTGGAACTACGAAGTAACTAACGTCAATCTAAGATTAAACTTTCTCATTTTTAATATTAGTATGATAGCAAGTTTAAACGCATCAATTTCAGAAGGCTTGGAACAGAAAAAACCCGTTTTAATTTTATCATTTCCTGTTGGTTTTTGTTGTTTTGTTTGTTGGTTTATCTTAATAAATAAGTCCTGTTGGTTTTCCTTAATAAATGAAATAAAATGAAAAATAAATAAATAAATCACCAGTTATAAAGTTTACAAGTTATTGAAATCTATAAGAAACGTTTAATATAAAACAAACCGTTTTAGCGTTTCTCCGAAGCGGGCGCGATCCTTTCCACCAGGTGACCTGTGCCTCGGGCCGAGAGCCGGTCGCCTTGCACTCCACCTCGTAGCTCCTGTCGGCCGATAGCTGCCGGCTCTTGTTCAGGATTTGCACCGTCAGAGGCTTTACTACAACAAAACACTATCTCATACTTCTAATACACAATGCATACCAAGAATTTGTTTAAAAAGCTGGAATCTTTGATAAAAATAATCTTAGGCAACATCTCTTACTCGTCTTATTATTCTTAACATTATACGACATTGCCGTCGTCAACAAAAATATAGTAATATCAGATATTAATCTATATTGATCCTGCCTTAATAACATAAAGGACATTTGCTTCAAACAAGATATGACACTTGATCGATTTGAGTAATTAATGTTGAGCTCACGATGACAGTAATTATGTCTCTACAAAGTAATTACACAGATTGAGACACAATCCGTCCTCAGCCTAAACCGCAGGCGTGAAACACAAACGGATGTGTTCCAATATATGACTTTTAGAACCAAGAATAAATAGAAAGTGTGAAAAATAGGTTAAAACCTAATGTAGAAACATAATGCTTTATATATTTCTTAACGAAATCGAGCTTGATTCTCCTCTGCGCCAAAATCACTGTTCAACTCGCTCGTTTTTCACTACCCACGGGACACAGATTTATTGAGAGTTTCAAACTTTTGCTTTTGTTTTCGTGTTTAAGTTCATTTACAATTAAAGAATAGATTCAACTTTAACAACTAAGTACTTTTATGTAGCAAAATTAACTTTAAACTCGGTAGTTTACGACATACTCGTAGGCGAAAGACATCTCGGAATCTAATAGATTCCAATTTCCATACGGTAGTAACTTACAATTGATTTCCAAGATGAGCAACTTTGTCTGAGGCGGAGCTAAATTGGTGTTGGAAGCCTGGCAGATGAGCCGCGCGTTTAGGTGCTGTCGGCCGATGCTGGGAAAGGTGAGTGTGTTCACGGTCACGCCGCCGCTCTGCAGCTCGTATGAGTCGTCGATCACCGTATTCTCCAAGTACCACGTCAAACGTGGCTTTGGATCGCCTAGTAACAGATTTAATAGGCAATTGATGACTTCCAAATAAATTAATGTCTTCTAGATTGACCATTGTGAAGTCTGTAATAGGTGTGATTAAAAATTAAATCAATATTTGAGCTCGTTAAATGTAATTAAAAGAGTAAAACTGTCGCTTAAGCTGATTCTAATTAGCTGCGACACAAAATTGAGAAATGTACGCAATGCGCAGTAAAAAGAAAGAGCCTTCAGACGCTGAGCTCCGTGCCCTTTGTACAGCAATGAATAAAGATTTAGCAAACTTTATAAAAGTGAGGCTCCTTATCTTATTACGAGGGCCGATATTTCAAACAAGACCAAGGCGTAAGAAAAATTTCAAACTTGGTAAAAATTATTTTGTCCTTACATAATATTTAGGTTCGTCCGCCCTGAAAAGCTGTTCGAGAAAGTTCCGCCTTTATTTTGGTACTGTGACTAAATGAGTTTATAAAAATATACTTTGAAAGTTTACTGACACAAAAGGCCATGTGTGTTAGTATTGTGGCCCTTTTTCAAGAAAAATCTTTTATTTTTTTATGATTATGAAACCAGGATGGTAAGTAACCGCTAAACCTTCTACAAGTGTACTCCCTTTGGCAGTCATTTGTTTCATGGAGAATTTGGTCATGCGTTCGTAAATATAACTTCTACCTCTATGTCCTTACCTCCATGCACTTCACAGATGAGTTCGAGTGTGTCGCCCTCATCATAGGGCTCCAGGAGACGCGTCTGGTCTCTGGTCTTAGCGTCAATGATGATCGGCCGGTCCGGTGGCGCTGCGGAACAATTGTTAAACTAACACATCCCATGATTTATTCATCTCTAAAAACTTCCTAACATCTATTCAAATTCTAACTCGGTAGTTGATTTTAAATTACATTTCAATTTACTTCACTTCTGTTCTCTGATTATTTAAATAAGTTATTATTTTTTACTCTGGAATGCAACAATATTAGACAGAGGCCGCTTAAAATTTGTTCTTATAATTATTGAGATTACAGAGTACTCTCCTTGCTCAATTTCGACCTTTAATAAATATATTTTTATTTACTAATGTAATACTAATAAGTATACTACTTAATACTCAATTAGAACATATTAAGTTCTAAGATTTTTGCTGTAATTTGATACTTGATGAAAGTATCAAATGAATTACAGATAGAGTTAAAAAAGGAACCAAAATAAACTATTTATTTGTTTTGTAAGAAAACAATGCGGTGCCGACAGAGTCGACCTCTTTTTACTGTTTGCTTTGTCAGCGGCCGGAGGTCCCCAATATTGTTGAAGTTCTCGTCCCGCACAAACTTCATCTGTCCCAAACATTCACACAAAATCTTCGCTATATTAAATAAATCAAAATAGAGCTAACGTTGCGAATTTTAAATAATCGACTTTTGTGAGTTCGTTTGCTGGAGTAAATATCTTATTTTCAAAAACAACTGTAAAAAAAGAATTGAAAACTAAAATATGTTGCAATTTCAGATATTTCTTTAAAAATTTTCAGCAGATCTGTAATTTCTTGAAATAGAACTGTTTAATTTTGATGAAATGAATGTTTAACGTAAATTAAAACTTAACTCAGAAGGAAAAATATCATAATTAATGATGTAATCGAGAGAAGTCCGCATTCAAAACAACCACAAATTAACAAAGATAATAAAAGTGAATGGGCATTGTTGGAGACTTAACGTTTATTTTATCATTCCCTTTTCTTGGGCGTTCCGATTGGCCGACGAAACACTTAGGAAAGTAATTTCCTTGGAATATTATTGGAAACGGGCGTTTGTAATGTTCATTGTATCGCCGGCGATTATTTCATTCCACTATTGTCTGATATCAAATTCTTTATCACACTGATTATTGTCTTTGTTTGCTCTTTTATTTAGTGCGGTATTGTTTAGTTTTTCAGTATAGGTAATTAGATTTACTGTTAGACTACCTATGGTTACTTGTAAGTTCTAAGTCATTGCAATATTATTAACTAGTTTATACTTGATTTTTTTATTTCGCATCTTTATTTCACTAACGTCACTTTATAGTTTAGGGAATATTTAAGCAATAGAATCAGTATAAATTTTAAATTCTATGTAATTCAGCGATTGAATAAGAAAAGCATAGTGTAGTATAATTTAACTAACCTAATTTTCTCTGGTCTGATTTCACTAATTTCTATTCTAACAAAACTTTATCGCATCACTTTTAAAGACTTTAATGTAGTTCTTGTATTAAAATTAGATTTTTTTAAAAGCTTCTTTTCATTAAAATATTGCACTATTATTTCCGGATAATCGGATTAATAAAATAAACACGTTTTTATCAATAGATGTGCATCTATTTTTTCTCTTTTGTTACTCTCATTCAGATAGAATAAGCTTCATTTTTCTTTTATGTTTTATAAATCGTTGTACATAAATTATAAGAGCTATGGCGCTTTTCAATGTCAGTTATTAATTGTAACAGAGTGACTATCGAGAAACTGAATACTCTTGTATATTTACGACATAATAGACTCTCCAACATGTTTCAATTAGTACTACAATATGTTGTTAATAACTTAATTTGTACTCATAATATCCAATATGATCTGTAATTTGCAGACATTTGTACCGTCAAACTGGTCGAATTACTGATTAATGATGTTCTTGTTGACGATGAAAATGATCTTAATGAACACTTTCTAGTTTACAAATTTCATCATGAAATTTATAAACATTAGAACATCTACAATCGTTTCATTGAATCAGGTTATTATAAACAATATTCAAGCACATAGAGTGATGTTTATTTTTATATTCAGAATTAAAGTACTTTTATTACAAGAATTATTTAAATAACTTACTGATAACAGTGAAATTTAGCCTTAAATTTCTGGTAGGTGAATTCTTGAAGTCGACTCTGCAGCGGTAGACGCCGGCGTCGCTGGTGAACACATTGTCGAGCAGCAATGTTGCGGGGACGGCGGCCGCGCGGAAGAACGCACGCGCCCCGAAGCCAGACGGCGACGACCATAGCTTGGGCTGCGTCAGTGCTCGCCCTCGCACGTCGTAGCTGAGACACAAAAGTAATTGAGTTTTCTGTGTTATGCTGTTAACATCTCTTTTGTTATTATTAAAAGAGATGATAACAGATATTTCGGCAGTGCATACAACATCTACACAATACCATTGCCAAGCTTTCAACATTAAATAAATATTACATGATACATTTCACAATAAAATTTAAATTGTGTGGAGATACGAGACCGCTCATCAAAACTATACGACGCTAACTAATTTCTGCGAAACAATATTGCAAACTTTATGTAGAACTCGCTGTTTGGCTGAACGAAGTTAAATATTAATTTTCCTTTACAAATCACTTTTATATAAAAGAAAGAAAGAGAAAAAGCATTGTTGTTGGTTACCTGTAGACAAATGATAGACATGATAAGATAAGTAACATAATGAAGGGATTACAGACTGAAAGAATGACTCACACCGTAATACGGAGGATGAAAACTTGGTATTATCCCCAACCGTCACCCCGCTCAGTCCCCATGTGGGGACAGATGAGAATAAATAGTTGCATCTGACCCAACTTTTTCTGCGAGGTGAAGGTTGGAATTTATTTTATTTCTTAACAGTTCCATCTGTCACCTTATTGGTGATAGTTGAACTAAAAGTTGGAACGGATGAAACTTTTAATTCTTCTCTGTCCCCACGTGGGGAGAGAGCGGGGTGGTGGTTGGGAATAATCCGAAACTTGGGAGGTACCTGTCATAACTGATATAATAAGAAGATTAGTTTGGTTACCTGTAAAGAGGTTCTCCGTCAGATTCTTTGAACCACAGCACCATGGCAACCTGGTCGTCCGCGGAGAGCGGCTGCGTGTCGCACGGTAGAGCAGCCTTCTTGCCCACCACGCCCTGCACGTGCACCGTGGGCACTGCGGATAAACAAGAAGGTCAGTCTACAACAATGGTTCCGCCTGCTACTAGATTTCTTGTAAACTTTTGATTGATTTATCACCTTTATATGCCCACATGTAGGAATGACAGCTATAACTAAATAAACAAAACCAGAAGTTGAAATAAATGTGATGTAATAGGTAAATTGTACTCGTACTTCAATGATGGTGTGATTTATTTTGTATATATTTTGTACAGCGGCCGTGTTTGTATTCGGATCATGTAATTGTCGAAAAGTAATTAAATATCCTCTCATCGCGCGCCGTCATTATCATTCAGTGAAACTTCATCAGACCGAGGCTAATTATACATTCTCATTAATGTTAATGAAAAGATTTTTACATTGAATAAAAAAAAATGAAAGAGATATAAAAATATATGTGTACTGAACGTTATAGGGGTACGTAATGCATTCTGTAACAAAATAATTTTGCAATTAATATTGTAATCCATAAAAATACTTGTTATTAATTGAGAAAAAGGGTTACAAGTACAAACTCGTGGATAAAGTGGTAATTTAACTAGAAAATGTTGAGGTGTCGAACACTGATCCATTGGAGCGTGTCGGGCGGCGAGGCGTGTCGCTCGCACGGTGTCGTGTGTCGTGTCGTGTCCAAGTCGTCGCGCTTCGACAACCGCCTATACTGTTACTTACCTACTCGTAAACAAGATGATTCGTTATTTTAAACATTTTATCTATCTAATTCATGTGTGATTACTTAAACAGTAATAAACCTTATCTCAGTCAGTATAGAATAATACTGCCGTTGATATCGGTGCTCAAAACCCAAATGTTCGTATTCATAGTCTGCACTAATATTTTTAATAAAATCGGCTATATAAACCGTATCGAGTAGATGAAAGATTCTCTAATGTTATTTCTCAGAATTATAACTGTAACTGAAACCTCCCGGCTTTATAAAACAGGATAAAAGTTTCTCGCTTCCAATTTGAAGCGCCTGTGGGTCCAAGGTAATCCGAGGCGGGAGGTAATTGCCTTATAACGCTGCGAACTCAAAGAATTAATACAATTACGTTAATTGAACGCGAGGCGGATCGAATCAAAGAATTTAACGGGAACGTTAGTAATACCGATGTTTGACCTCAATTAACTAAATTCAAATTCGAATAATTATGTGTCGGGAAGCCGGCCCGCTGTGCGCGACTTCAATCGCAGGAAATTGATCAATGGCGCTCCGAGGTGATTTATTTTGTTTGATGGGAAGCTGGGTCGTGTTCCTTTTGTTCCGCATTTTTTTGTTAATTGGAAATCGCACCTGTTTTTGCTAATTCAATCGTTTACGGTTACAAAACACTCAATTGATTTTTATTTAATATTCCTTCCTTATTTCCATTTGATTTATATTTGATCCAAGACGTTCTTAAAATCATATTTCTAATGTTAATATCACTTCTATAGTTTTATAGTGTTTTCCTTAGATTAATGTTAACTAAAGTTAAATTGATTTCAAGTAACAGATACCTGTTCGTGAGCATTGTATACTTAATCTTGAGTTATGACGTGTGACGTCACATAATGGAACTCCACGAGATTGTTAATCAAATTAGTTAAGCATACATTTGTGCTTTAACTTAATTAACTTCCTCAAGAAATAGTGTCATATTGAAATTTCTGTAATGGAAATTGTAACTTGATATCCAAATACTGAGAAGTTTTATGAGCGGTAATATGCTTTATTAGTATGAGGATAGTGTATGTATGAACAATTTATACTTTTCCTAATTATACTAGACGAATCTATGCCGATCCTCGTTGTTCTATAGTAACAAAATTCTACATGGCGGTAAGCATTTCGCTGAATTTATTATAACGTATTTTGTAACGTTAGAGTTTTAACAAAGACCAAAGCTGCGGTGTTCCGTTGAATCGTTTCTAGTGTAACAGCTGTGGATTTCATTTATTATAATAATTTAGATGAATTTTGCTGTACAAATATATACCACAACCCGAATAATTCGGTCGTATCTCGTATACGAATTACAAAGGGTGCGTCATTTTTACGTAAATTGTCCAGTCCGACTTTGGGTAAGGGCTAATCAAATTTATTTCGTTCATATTTTTATCTCACAAGTACACATATCAAACATTTTTCGACCAAACGTTCACATACGTTGTATATTAAAAGCCAAAAAGCTACACAACACAAATATAATATGCACCAGCTAGCTAGGTCAAGTAATTTTAAAGTTGTACATAAAATTTGCAATCGAAACGACCATCGTTATAAAAAAAATCCTGTCTTTTTGAAGTCAGTTAAAAACTAAAGAAAAAACGAAAAGCGTTACGACTTTTTCTTGTTTTAGAAAGAGCAGTCCATGAACAGAATGCCGGCGTAAATATTCATGTGTTTTTAATCATTTACAAAGAGAAGTAAACTAGGTCGTTCCTAATAAATTTTTAATGTCAACGAGAGCGAACATGATTTTAAAAATTAACATATCGCCTTTTAATAATTTATTATAACGTAATAAAATTTGAAATCAAAGCAAATTTCAGTAAACAGATATCTATATTACTCATAAATTTAGACAGTATTATAATAATTCGTTGGTTATATTTATAATGCAGCTTGTAATTCGGTCATTTGATCCCGAGACTGCGTGAAGAGCAGACGTGTCGGTGCGTTTACGTAAACAAACAGTCCGTTAACTGTCTGAGGAAGCGAGGTTCGATCGCCCGATCGTTGTACTTGATGCCTTTGTTTATTATATGACCTAATGGAATACGAACACAGCGATATCATTTACTTTCCTGAACACGCTAATATATCACAATAGTTTACTGCTCAGGTTATTGCAACTTAGCTCGATATGAAAATGTTTCATTGACAGTTTGAAGTTAATACTAAATTGAAATTTTTTTATCATACAAAATTACTGATCGTAAAATTATAGTTTAAAGAAAAATATTTATAAAGCTGCTACCAGCAAGTTTTATAATTACTTTAAACACGGGCTCGTTATTCTTGACTTAGCGGAACTAGTGTCAGTATAAAAAACGCGCTCCGGGACTAGAATCTAATTTACTCTTTCCTTAATGAAACGGAGATTACGAGCCTCGTGCGATACATCCCGCCTTCTTTTTATATGTTTGTATTTTAACAGAACAAAGATGCACTATGAATCGATAAGACTATTGTAAAAAGTTAGGACGCGACTATAAATACAGCACATTTATTATTTTTTACAAGTTTACTTAAAAAGTAAAAAATAGTGAATGAAAATACTTTTCAATATTAATGCTGAAGTACTCTGTTTTATTTCACCACTTTATTTGTTTAAGACTCAACGCTTCGAGAAGTTATTTCGATCTTGTATCAAGTTTTTGTCTTATAAGAATTTTTTTTTTCTTTGGTGTTAATATTACATTGTCTCTGATTGGAATGTATTAGTTTATTTTTTCTTAGCCAAAGTTAAATAAGTTAACAATGTGAGTGCTATATTTATGTTAACTTAATGTAATTTCTTCAATCAATGCACTCAAATTGGAAAGTAAAATAAATAAAACAGAGACCTAATTTTCTATACTAGTTTTATTAAATAACATTCAATACACTTAGCGCTAGATGAAAACGTATTCTCACGTCTACATATAAAAACATTAACTGTTAACACCAATAATAAAATTAAAAATGTAAAGGAAACATGTTAAAGATTCCCAACATTGTTTTTTCAACAGAACCAACATGAATAATAAATACCATCTCTGCGCCATCATCTGTTTATCTTAAAATTTACGAGGCGCAAACTTTCCCGCGGGACTTGATTTTAATATGTCACAATTACTAACTTACAAATATTCACGAACTTTGTGTTCACGAGCACTTCTAAATGTTTAATGTACGACGTAAACTGTGACGTCATTTAATTCAAAATAGAAAACAAAAGAACATCATCATAAATTGCTTTGAACCTAGCAAATAATAAGTGTCTGAACTGGTTCCGACGGTCTGCCGTATTTTTAGTGCATTTTTAAAATCTAGTACTTACAGTTATTTACACTGTAACCCTGGTAATTTACGTAGGTAACTAGTTAAATGGCGTTAAATCGTTTGAACTGCATAGAGCTGGCAGATCAAAATCAAACGCAGCCCGGTTCCGGAAACCGTTAATTCGTTCCGTTTAAAAGCAAATGGCGTTTTCCAGCGAAGTGT